GTGGCAGCAACGATGTAAGATAAAAAAATGAATGGGAAAAATACTGAAGTGTTTAAAGCAACGATGCGGTATTACGCTATCACTGCAGTATTAAACTTTGAAAAAGTATGAAGCTCATCGCTGTCGTTAATCGAACGTTTATTATCCTCTCTGTTGGGGATGATGATCTAGCTTTCGGTCGGACGGTAAGGTAGGTGAATTTGTAAAACAAGATCAGAGAATTCGGGATGGCTAATCTGATGAGGTCACTCTGATACTTAAGTTAGTAATCTAATGCGAGTTGAATAGCTTTGAGAGCTTAGAAAACTAGAGAGCAGAAAAATCACGCGTACCTTGAGCCATTGGGGTTGGTGCCTTTATATACTGAAGTAGTCGTGGAGGGGATATCCGAGATGTGGAAATAGAGTTCGCTCCGCTTTCGAAGAAGCAATATACAGGTAAGGCTTATCTCGTTCCACTTCCGATTTTGGCGGAGTTAGGATAATTCCTCATCGTGATCCCGGAAAAGTTGGGATCTGTTAGTTCATCGTGATCTCGAGGGATTCAGGATCCATTGGAGAGACCTCTGGAGTTGGTTACGCGGGAGTCAATTACGTGGCGATTCGAGTTGTTGGTTCTGAACTGGTACTTTGGTCTTTTAGTTCCAAACTGGCTTGAATACCGAGGTGCCTCGATGCCAAGGTGGCCCTGCACCAAGGTGAGCCTTAAGCCGAGGCGGCCTTTGTTTCGAGGTGACTGAATACCCGAGCTCAATTGTTGCGAAATAAAATTGTCAGGCTGAGTTGTCATCTCTTGGTCAGGTCGTGTCCACGTGTTCCCTTTTTACTAGGTCGGGCCAAATCACCTTTCATCACTAATGTAGTTATTTCATTACTTTCTGTTATTATTTCCTTCTATCATATTTCATGTTTTTTCTTTCATTTTCTTTAAAGATAACTGGTTCAGTCTCAAAGTAGATGACAATAAACAGCCTCTTCTTTTGAAGGGTAGTTTTAACATTTTCAATAGATAACTAATGGTCAGTTAACAACAAGGACCAAATTGACACTTTTTGAAAGTTTAAGTATTGCAGTGACACATTTGAAAGTTCAAGTACTAAACACTACCCCCAAAATTCAAGGTACTAAAGTGGAATTTTCCCAAAAAAAAAATACTGAAGTGTTTGTCGTTTTCTTTATTGCTCGAACAAGTTTTCAATTTTGTGGTGTGTGGATCGATGGATGAATGGAGACAATAGTATTCCCAGCGGTTTGGATTTGGGGTTGGAGAATGGGAATCCACCACCAAACCAACTACATCGTAGATAGCTTAAGCCTTGAGGTTTCATGAATCTATATATATTAAAACAAGGAAGTCTAGAAATTTTATCTTTTTTTTTTATTTTTAATTTTTTTAATCCATGTCATTTGAAACTACCAATTAGAAACTCTACTTCCCCAAAAAATTTTCTTAAAATCTCTCTCTCTCTCTCTCTCTCCCCTACACGTTCTAATAACCTAACTAATCTAATATCCTAAAATTTCTCCTTAACAAACTCCCCCACTATCCCCAACTTTCTCCTAAGTTATCTTTAATTTAGTAGAGAATTTCTCTCTTAAATTATCTCTAATTGTTATTCATCTTCTCCTCCACTTTTGAATTAAAAATTTAAGAATTAAAAAGTTTGAATTAAAAATTTAAGAATTACTTAAATATTCTAACAAAATTATATAATAACTTCAAAATATTTATTACAAAGACAAAACATAATTATAATCACTTTAATAATATTCATATTATTAATAATTATATATTTTTACAAAATTCATCACAAAATTATGTATAAACAATATAAATTATGTTTTTATGGATTATTCAATCTAAATGTTATTCAAATAATAAAAATCTAACATTAAAAATGAAATATTATTTAAATATTTCAATAACTAAATATCTTAAATAACAAAATATTAAAATTAATAATATATTTTAAATAGCTATTGAATAAATTTCAATTATAATAAATAGATTAGGATTTTAAATATTTAGTTAAATAACTAAATATTTTAAATAAAAAATATTTAACATAACTAGATTTTAAATAGTTAAAATAACAAAATTATGTAAATAATGATATTATATCAACAAGTAATTATGTAAATATTTAACATAACTATAATTTTATGGGTTTTTAAATTCAACAAGTAATTAATATTTTAAATTTTAAATAATGATATTATTTCAATAAATAAATAATATTGTAAATAACTAATTTCATTTATACCAATTAATAATTCAAGAAAATAACTTTCAAAAAAATTATTGTTTATTAATAATAATTTTAAAAACTTAATATTTAATTATTATATATTTATCTATACTAAAATTAATGTTTATTGTATTTCAGTAATTATTTATTATTTTTTGTTATAAATATATTTTCAATAATTATGTATAAATCTATTTTTGTTTTTTATTTAATAGAAAATTTTCAATAATTATTGTAGTTTAAACTACTATTACTTAGCTTTTTAAATTTAATTTATTATGTATTTTTGCTATTAATTTTTAATAATTATTGGAGATTAAACAATTGTTCATAGGTTGGTTTGGTTCAGTTGTAGATTGTTTGGCCAATCAAATCGACCTGGTCATGTTGGGGGGTTGGTCACTCAGGTTATATCGGTTTGGGTCAAATTTTGATTTGGTTGGTCGGTTCAAAAGATTTAAGATTAAAAAATTAAAATTATGATATAAATTATTTTAGCTTATGAAATATTGGAATTTTTCCACTTTCTCGTATTAAAAGAATATATTTAAAATATAAAATATTAATCTATATTTATGGTTGGGTCATTCGATTTTAGTCAGTTTACAAATGGCCAAAACAAAACTGATCCAACCTAGTCGGGTTGGGAAATTGTTGAACCAATACTGACTGGAAATACTAGAAATCGGGTTGGTCAGTTTCATTAGTATGATTTGGAATGGCAACGAGGTGGGCCCATCCCCATCCCTGCAAAAAATCCCCATCCACGTCCACGTCCTCGTCCCCATCCCCACTAACGGGATAAAGTTATCCCTATCCCCACTCCCAGTGATTCTTTATAATGGCAATCGTTATGTTATTTTTTTTTATTTAAAAAATAAAAATAAAATAATTAAAATTTACAATTCTATTAGAAAAGATCAACATATTCAACCATATTTTTAAAAATATTAACACGGGAAAATCTATGATGCGTAAAAGATATGATATGGAAAGAGTTTTGACCAATTAAAACTTACCCATGAATTTTGATAAGTAACACTTGATTGGCTATTACGTTTATGATTCCAATTGACTGCCCAGAAGTTTTTCATATATCATATCTTTTCCATATCATAGTCGAACCCTATTAACATATAGACGTATGCGTACATATATACATATATAAACATATGCATGTATATACATATATTAGTAGAGATCCCATGGGGTGGAGGAGTGAGGTCCACAAAGGGCAGGGAGTGCTCTCCCCACCCCTGCACCGTCCCTGCTAATGGGGATGGAAATTCCCCCATCTTTGTCCCCACGAGGGGAAATCATCCAATATCCCCACCCCATTCAGAATAGATCCCCACGAGAATCGGAGAAATAGGAAAAATTATTATCCCTAAATTCGATAAATAAATCTATTTAAAATTAATTATTGTTATTTTTATATTATAAAAAAATATTAAAATAATATATAAAATATAAATAATTATTAATTATTATATAAAATAATTATATACTCTTAAATGTTTCTATTATTTATCTTTAATTTAACAAATTCCATACATTATATAGGTCCCCACGAGTTATTCTTATATTTTTCTATTTTGAAGGGATATCGATTGAGGACCGATTATCTTCATTCTTCCATACACCAATCCATTTATATACATCTTTATTCAATTAAACTTATATATACAAGTATTATATTTCAATGCTGCGATATCAACGGATTGATTTAAGCATGGATCCACTCCAACCCAAAACCTAATTAGGTTCAGATCAGAGCTAGTTTATCACTTAATTCAATCCATTGACATTCTTAAGATCATTTGAGAGAGGAATTTGGATTCCCTCTTCACAGAAGCCGTCCTCCAATCCTTGCAGCCAGTGCATTGAGAAAATTTCTCCATGAATAAAAGGACAGCCTGACGACGAAATCCAAATTACCCAAAGAGGGATTCAATTGGACACATCATTCATTTAACATTTAAATGTTAGGAGCTGGCCTTAGCGGCTAGGTTGAAAATTACATGGCAAATTATAAGCATGTAAAAATTATGTTAAAATAAACTGAAAATTATATATATTTAACAGTAAAAAAAAGAAAAATGTAAGCTGACTCATACATACTGGTTCAGCTGCCATTAGTTTTGAGAAGGTCCAACCGTGTTGAGATCTACGCAACAAAGATTGTTCGAATATCCTTCTAATATAGTCTGACACATGGTTTTTAAAATCCAACCAGACTGGACGGTCGGATCAGTTGATTCGGTACCATCCAGGTAATCAATTCCATTTCACCTTTGATTGGATCAAAAACCGTTAACTGGTGGTTTGATCCATCGACCCGTGACTTAGACTATAGTTTTAGCCGTTTTTTATTTTAATTATTTTTAATTTTTAAAATTTTAATTCAAAATAGGTCATTCATTCGAACCAAGTGGTTGGACCATTTATAAGAATACGGACCAATTGATTCCGTATCTGATCCGATTTTTAAAACATTCACTGACACCACACATCTCAGCACGAATCCGACACATCAGATGACAGAATACAGATGATGTTGGAACTTGGAACGTATTTTGTTTGCAGGAGATTCGGACTCGTCCGTGACAGGCCGGGTCAATTCATTTATCCAAATCGTAGAAGAAATAGAAGAAATGGGTGGGTCTTCCAGAGACGAACCTGCCTTACCCTTTATTTTCAGTTTTCCACAAAAAATCCATTTATTATTCTTTACTAAAAGAATAAAAAAAAAAAATCATCGCAGGAAGCTTCCTCCAACCAATACCTGCAGCCACCGCCAATCTTCATCATCTCTTACCTCCGAATAGTTTGACCAACCACTCTCTCTATCCCTCAAAGTCTTTGGGGCTGCGTTTATTTATGTCTCTCTATCACTTCCGTTGGATTCGATTAGGTTAGGCAACTAGAGTTTTTTCGCTGGAGAGTCTCGATTTTGATCGCAAAGAAGAGATCCTAAGACTCTTCAGGTTTTGATTTTGATCCTGGATAGGAGAGAAGTAGAACAGAAAGAGGGCTTTCTTACAGTTTTGACTTAATTTTTTTGGGGTTCTTTTCTGATTTTTTTGCTTCTTTTTCTGTTGATTCATTCTTTTATCGGCAACAGAGCAAAATATTCTTCTAAAAAACAATGAAGACTACACAGCTATCTTCTGATGACTTTGGAGATGCAAAGGCTTGGCCTCCTGGGTTCCGATTCCACCCCACCGATGAGGAACTGATCCTTTATTATCTAAAGAGGAAAATGTGCCGACGCCGAATCCAGCTCAATGTAATCGCAGAAATCGACGTCTACAAGTGGGATCCTCAAGAATTACCAGGTATCATTATATTCTCTCTCCCGTCAGTTTCTTATTTCTCTGTATTTTTTTTGTAAGCTCGATCGAGTTGAGACTGTTGACTTTGTCTGTACTGGGATTTAGTCAGATTGACCATAGGTTCCCCTTTCTTGTCGATCTATCCTTATTGTTACTATTTTAGTTTTGGCATCCAGGATCTTTAATTATCACTCTTACCATTAGAATATCTGGTTGGGAGAACTTGATCGATGGCTTTACCAGTCAAAATGTTTTCTTTTTTTGTTTAGTCATCCTGGTTTCAACTTGTTCAGATGTTGATTCGTTTTTCACCAAACGAATGCAGGGCAATCGTTGTTGAAGAATGGGGATAGGCAGTGGTTTTTCTTCAGTCCTAGGGACAGAAGGTACCCAAATGGAGGTAGATTGAATAGGGCTACCAGACTTGGCTACTGGAAGGCGACAGGGAAGGATCGCAATATTACTTGTAATTCTCGCACAGTCGGAGTGAAGAAAACTCTGGTTTTCTACAAGGGTCGCGCTCCCAGCGGTGAACGCACCGACTGGGTGATGCACGAGTATACCATGGACGAGGAGGAACTCAAGAGATGTTCTGTTGTGCAGGTATGCTTAAACAAACCTGTTTGAATTATCTTTTTTTTTTTTTTTTAAATTTTTCGAATAAGTCATTCTTCCCTTAGTCGTTTAGATAGCGTTTCCCTTTCTTAAGCTCCTCTTCTGTTTGTCTTTCTTCAGGATTGTTATGCACTGTATAAAGTTTACAAGAAGAGTGGACCAGGCCCGAAGAATGGCGAACAGTACGGGGCGCCTTTCAGAGAAGAGGAGTGGGCTGATGATGATAATCCTGCTGATACAACTACAGTACAGCAACCAAATGGGTTCTCTTCTGTTGAGAGCTTCACAGTTTACGATCAAGGCCCACCACCAAAAATTGATACGGAAGAGATTTGGGGGCGAATTGCAGATGAACCCCAAATTAATCAACCTCACATCGATGACTTTGCCGATCTACTACAACAGGTATGTGAAATCTCCACATGGTGGTCTATATAATTAATTGAATCTGTTGGTGTGGCAATCTTCTTACAGTAGCTCTTTTTCTTCTCTGGTTAGCTACAATAAGTTGATGGGAGCTTGTCAGCTTGACCATTAGAACCTGTTGATTTCATCTCTATATAAATGCCATTATCATAAAAACCAAGTGAACATTTGGAAGGCACGTTAAATAAAACCACTTCATTTTAGTTCTGCTTTGCATTTCTATATGTGGTTTCTCAACCAAGATGGATTAGTAGAAATGAATTGATTTCTTGATATCCTAAAATGATCATGATCTCGTTTTTTACTTTTATGGTTTAAAATTTTAAGGGAAAAGAGCAACTTTTCAAATGAATTGTCTTCGCTGCAAATGTATGTAACACCCCAATAATGACTATTTTTTGTTCTCAATTGATAATGTAATTACACTGAATTGTTGAATTTTGACATCAATAATTTGTGTAAATGTATTTCTGTAGGTTGATGGCGAGGAAGGAGCCCAAAGTACTATGATTCGGCCTTCATTTGGAGAAGCTACATCTGCAGAACCAAGTACAGTGGCACTCTCATGCGAGCAGCAATATAATGCACAGGCTAGCTTGAATGTCACTCAGTCAGCTACCTCCTATCTGTATTCCTCTGAGGCCCCTGAAGTTACATCTGCTCCCAATATTTCTGGGCAGTATCCTCTCGGATTTGCAGAGGAGGATTTCTTAGAAATTAATGATCTCATGGATCAGGAAGCTGCCTACCCAATTATGGGGAGTTCCACTTCCAGGGACAACTTGGGCTTTGAAGAAACAACTAGGTTGGATGGAATGGATGCTTTCTTTGATGCAGAATTGTTTTTTAATGATCTTGTACAGGAAACAGCATTGCACCCCAATCTTGATAATCTTGGGGATGGCATGGCAAACCAGTTAGATTACCAGTTATCATCCCATTTGGATGATGCACATCAAATTAGCAGTCAGCTGTGGACACATGACCAAAGGTCTAGTGTCTTTCAATCAACAGAATCCAACCAGGTTGTTGTGGCTCCATCCACCTCAGGTATTACATATCCCACACAGTTCTCAGTACTTTGTTAGCAGCAACAGGTGGTAAGCTTTAGCTAGTTCTGATCCAACCATCTTCTTTAGGTGTGATACATGCTGCTAATTCAGCAAATCCTAGTGAGACAAGACAGAATCAAGGCAGCAACGGGAGAGCTTCACCAGATTCTTGGTTTGCTTCTGCACTCTGGTCCTTTGTGGAATCAATTCCTACTAATCCTGCATCAGCCTCAGAGAGTGCTTTAATAAATCGGGCATTTGAGCGAATGTCGAGTTTCGGTAGAGTGCAAATAAGTGCCAGAAACGGCAATGTTGCAAGAGGTCGTGCTGCTCAGACTAGGGGTGGAAACAGGGGATTCCTCTTCCTTGCTTTTCTTGGAGTGCTATGTGCTGTGTTATGGGCGATGATGATAGGAACAACTTTTAAAGTTTTCAAGACTTTCTTGTGGAGATATATATCCTCGTAAATATGTAAAGGACAAAGTTTTTCTGGTTTGATTACCGGGAAAACCATTGTGGAGAACTGTTAGATATGAACATAAATAAAGCTCACTGGTGTTTTCTACAAAAATTAACAAACTATTAATCCTGCACTTATTATTTTTTTTTTCTACCAAAGACATTGCAGCCGCACATGTATTACATTTAATGTTATCATTCAATGTTATCATTCACGGGGAGATGTTTCCAAGGCTGCGAATCCGGTCAGTGTAACAGGTTATGTAGAGTGCTGGGGTCGGGGCCTCGGGGGTCACAAATCACAACATTTGATTTCAGGGCATAGGTACCCATTTATATGCCCAAATACAAATACCTCTAGATACTTAGTATTCAATCCATTGATTCAAGTCCTCTAACTAACTAAACTCAGGGGGATTGAATCGTCCACATATTCTCTTTCTCTCTCAACAAGATTGAATCAAGACGACATTCACATGGTAGTTAATTGATTACATACTTGCACCCAAAATTTATGGGTACAGTCTTTTGATTCTTGGACTCAAATCCTATCTGTCTCGGTGTCTCCTATTATTGTCTTCTGGACCCGGAAGCTATAATACAACCAGTCAGAAATTAAGATTAAAAATTTAAAATCCCTAGTAATTTTTAGAATACTAGCCATTTGGCCTGCATTGTAGTGGACCTACTGGTAATTTTTAGAATTAATATTGTCCATTCAAAGTTTTATTTATTTTTATTTTTTTTAATATGAAACCTTACCTATAAAAATGGGCTTAGTTTGCATTTGGCATTCTTTATTTTAAAGATTTATCTCCTTTTTATAATTAAAATGTTCTTATAAATAATGAGCTTTTAATAACAAAAGGGAGATAAGTCCTTAAAATAAGGAATGCCAAATACAGCCTTAGTTTGCACGGATGGCAAAGTGTTTTGGGTTCTCTTTTTTAAAAAATCAACAGAAGTTGGAGAGAGGAACTCGGACTTTCTGAGAATATGTCATCTCTAAGATTCGTTGTTATTTTAGGGAAGCTTAGTTTTCTTCTTTAGATTTTCCTAGATCTTTTTGTAATTTTCTTTTGTTTCTGGGGGACGTGCTACGCCCGGTCTTCTTTCACCATTCTATTCTATTATAAATGTCATATATATTGTTAAACTAATGAGTGATTAAATCATTTCATACTACTTTTATCCATATCTTTTTTTATAATTTCCCTGTCCTTTTTAGCCTCGCATAGCCTCATTTTATCTTATAAATGTTATAGTGGTCTTCTATATGCACATGATAAAATTATTTTAGTTTATATATTTTTTTTATTTTATCACATATTAGAGTTATTCCTAAATTTGCTTGAACCATTTCATTTTTGACCTTATCTTTTCTAATTTTTTATTTATACATCTTAGCATATGCATTTCTACCATATATTCATTTTTGGATATACTGTTTTTTAACTGCCCAACACTATGCTCTATATAGTATAATTGACCTTAGGGCCCTGACCTGACATTGCATTTACTGTGAACAGCTCTATCAATTTTTTGCCAGCCCACTGAAGAACATCTTACTGTTCTTAAGTGTGTCTTACACTATTTCAAGGGGACTTTAGATTTTCATGGTTTGGTGTTTCATAAGTCTACCTCCATGGAGTTGCATGCTTACTCGGATGCCGATTGGGCTGGTTGTTCTGATGATTAATGTTCTCACAATGGGTTTTGTATTTATCTTGAACCAAATTTTATCTTTTGGATATCCAAGAAGCAAGCCACCGTATCCAAGTCCAGCACGAAGTTTGAATATTGTAGTCTTGTCATTGCCACCTCTGAATTGATTTGGCTTCGCTCTCTCTTCACTAAGCTAAAATTCCCTGTCACCTTGTCCACCCACTCTATTGTGTGACATTCAATGACCAACCCTGAATTTCATACACGAATGAAGCATATCGAGATAGATTTTCACTTCATCCATGAACAATTTGCTCGCCATCAACTTCAGGTTTAGTACACTAGCACTGCTGATATCCTCACCTAGCCCCTTCCAGGACCACACTTTAGCATGCTATGAGACAAGTTGAATGTGAAATCTTCCCCTTAAATTT